TATATATAATATATATAAAACATATATTGTACATCTGCTTTAGTCATTAAGGAAAAGGTATTGACCATAGGGAAAGAATGGCCCTGGTAAAAATAAAGATTAAATCCCTCCAGTCCTGGAACACCAGTGTTGGTACTCCTTCAAAGATGAGACCCTTTCCCCAGGTGTCAAGGTCATACTGACTCACTGGGTTCATGCTGATCTGTTTATTTGCTTGCTTGTTTGTTTTTTGGAAATGTTGAAGGAATGTATTGCTGACTTGCTTGATGCTCTTTGTTGTGACAAGATAGAAAACTGTGTGAAAACCATGCCTCCGTGGAGCAATTCCTCAGACTTATCTAGGAGGCTGTCTCTAAGGCTAGAGTCCTCAATTTGGCTCAAATAAAACTCTCTTTTATTCATATTATAGTTTGGTTATTGATTAACTGCATCAAAAATGTAAATGGACGAGGCACGACGTTACTTGCAGCGGGTGTTAGAGTACCAGGCCTACTCACCCTTGTCTATAGAATTGCCCTCTGTGCGGTAGAGCCACACAGGGTGGTAACCCAACACCCACCATCGCCCCCCATCAACTTCCCTGCCCCTTCCCATCCCCAGGCCACAACTAATGATTGAATAATACAGGACTGTAAAACTCCAAACCCACATCTACAGGGCATTTATTTCAGAGAATGTCCCTTGAGGAGCTGGCCAAGGCAAGACTTGGCCAAACTCTTATTCAAAATAAATTCAGGACTTTTCTGGTGTCCAGTGGTTAAGAGTTCGCGGGCCAACACAGGGGATGCAGGTTTGATCCCTGCTCCAGGAGGATTCTACATGCCGCAGAGAGATTAAGCTCGTGTGCCAAAACTTCTGAGCCTGTGCTCTGGAGGCAGAGAACCGCAACTGCTGACCTCACGTGCACAACTATTGAAGCCCAAGTGCCCTAGAGCCTGTGCTCCACAAAGGAGGCTACCGCAGCGAGAAGCCCAAGCATCGCAACTAGAGAGTGGCCCCCACTAGCCACAACTAGAGAAAAGCCCATATAGCAAGGGAGACCCAGCAAAGTCTAAAATAAAATTGTATTATAAAAAAATTAAATACTATAAAATTAGTAATGAACTCAGAAATCTCTCATTCCCCAGTGTGGTGCTGTATGTGTTCTATGAGAGGCATACTACTCAAAAGATACGACTATTTGCAGTATCTGACCATTCTCATGGGAACAAATTTAAATTGATTTTGTGAGCCATGTCGACATTTAATCAAGCGCGGTTATTAAAAAAAGAAATACGTACATGTAAATCCATGGCTAATTCATTTCAACGTATGACAAAAACCACTGCAATGATGTAAAGTAATTAGCCTCCAACTAATAAAAATAAATGGAAAAAAAAAAAGAAAAAGAAAAAAAAATAATAAAAAAAGAAATACTGCAATCTGTTCTTCAATAAACCTTCACTTTCTATCCCAAAGCAATTACATTGCATAATTTTAGTCAAAGTTTGTAGTTGTATTATGAACCAAGTGGAATCAGGGTTTCTTTAGTTGTGGAGATGAGAATTCTTTTTTAAATATTTACTTATCTTTGGATAATTACTAAGAGAAGTTTTCATATTTTTAATAATAAGACTTTTGTTATCCCTTGATGACTTTGGTTTAATCATGTTTGCCATATTTCTTATTTCTTTTGATACTGGCCTCCTAAGAGAGATTTCTTATGAAGCATTTGTGTTCCCTTTTATGCATTTCTAAAGTGCATTACAAGCCTTATTTCCTTTTCCCTGAAACTTTCTTTAGATTCACCTGAGTAATTGATTATATTATTTTTACTTTACAAAAATACAGGGTGTGAGATTTCTATTTTTGTGTAAAATCAATTTGTCGTTCCCAACTGTTTTCTGGCTCCTCTGTGGAATTCAGGTCATTTAAGGCTATGCTGTTGCTAAAAGGAATGTCTTAATTTTTTTTTTTTAATGTCAGATTGCATTACTCTCTTATTTACCCCTCACATCTCAGAACTGGCCATCTTTGGCACAATATTCCAAAATAATGGACCACTATATGATCCTTACCTATAATAGAATTCACTAAAAATCTAACGAAAACGTATAAGGTAGGATTGAATTTTGACTAACGTGCCTTATAAAGCAACTCCACATATTTGTGTCCTAGAAGCCTGACCTCATCCAACCTGACCAGTGTGTGGCTGTCTGGTTATGTTATAAAGCCAGATGTACTATGAAGTGGGGTGCAGTGTTTAAACACTGAGTCATCATCTCAGTGTGAACTGTGCTAATGGAGACATACTTGCAGTTAACCAAAAGTGTAGATAAGCTTCTTAAACCCCAATAAATATAACGGTGACTTCACAGGCAGTAAGGCCTAGAACGTGGTTTTGACAGTCAATTCTATAATCGATTTGTTTGAGCTATAGTCCCCACTGTTTGGTCAAATACTCACCCAGATGGTGCTGTGAAGATATTTCTTTAGTGATTAACATTTAAATCAGTAGCCTTTGAGTAAAGGATTACAGTAGTCTCTATAATGTGGGTAGCCCTGACTCTATCAGTCTAAGGCTAAGCAATTCTGCTCAAAAACAGAACACAGAAACCTTGCTGAGATTCTAACTTGTCAGCCGGCCCTGCAGATTTTGAACTCGAGGTTGCAACAACTCTTAGATGAATCTCCCAGCCTGCACCACACACATTTCAGACTTACTATACCCCACCATCACATGATCAAATTTCTTGAGATAAATCTTTCTAAACCTCTCTCTCTACATATGCATGCACGCACACACACGCGCGCGCGCACACACACACACACACACACACACACACACACACACACACATACACTGTTGGTTCTGTTTCTCTGGAGAACTTTAATAAAATGGTAGTTACTTATTGCTTGTCAGAAACTCCACGGGACTGAATATACAAATGGGCAAAGGAGAGACCATATATAAAAACAGAACTTTGACCTACCATCTGCAGCAACCCCCTCAGAAACCAACTCCTTTTCTACAATAAACAACCTAGGAAGCCAGCTGCTATAAGTCAGTTTTATAGGAAATCTGATTGTTATCTTGAGTGACAATCCAGGAAGCTAAACAATTCCTTCTGTAATAATCAGCCCCAAATGGTTAAGACTTGATTAACAACTGATTGCTTCCCTAATTTTTGTCTCTGCTTTTAACTGAGGACTAATCCTAGAAAGTCAGATATGCTCTCCATTCTTGCCTGGGAAATCCCATGGACAGAGCAGCCTGGGGGGCTACAGTTCATGCAGTCTCAAGAGTTGGATACCATTTACCAACTAAACCACAACCACCACCCAATCACACAGGATGCCCACATTAAGTCAATCAGCCCAAGCTTTCCTAGGCCAGTAGCCTCTTAACAGGGCACAGGTAAAATCTTCTCTCTTTACACCACAAAGCTTTTCCATTCTTCTCTCTGCCTTTGTTTTTCGTAGGCGTTTTTTTTGTTGTTGGTGGTGGTGGTTTTTTTTTTTTTTACTATTTATGACAGTAATTTAATGTTATTCATTCAAAAGTTATCTATCAGTTTTAAATATAAAATTTGTTTCTTATCCACATTAACAGATACTAACCTTTCTACAATTTCTATGCTCTGCCTTCCTTTGAGTCTGCTAAAAAACACGTGACAGTAACGGACTCCCTTGCAAACTTAGAATAAAGAGCCTTTGCTTTTCTCAAATGGTCATTTATCCCCACAGCCATAAGGTACTGAAATAGAAAGAAGTTAATCTTTCAGAAACCACAGATGGATATAACCAGCCTCAAAATTCTGCTACCCACAGAGACAGAATTTCCAGGTTCCATGTACATAATTTGGAATGTGAACACTACATAATACATAATTTGGAATGTGCACAATACATAAAAATATGTATTTTAATTAATTAATTTTTTTTTTTACTATGCTCTGTGGCATGTGAGAATCTCAGTTCCCTAACCAGGGATTGAACCCATGGCCCCTGCAATGAAACATGGAAACTTAATCAGCAGACTGCCAGGGAAGTCTCAATGATAAGTTGTTGTTTTTTGGTTTTTTTTTTAACTGAAACAAATGGTGACAGCAAACATGACTGAAAGGCTTTAGTACAAATAATTTTAAAAATCTAATTATTTGACTTATGACTTATTGACAATAACATCCTGATGATGCACCTAACTATGAAAGATTTTAAGTATTTCTTATTTTAGCCTCAACAAATTAACTGTTTCAGATAAAATTTTCAGAAAAGGGTAATATTTCTCTAAAAATGTGGCTTTTGACCTGCCATATATGAATTTTTTATAACTAATCTGCAAACACTAAGATTTGAGCATGATTGTTACACAATTAAGCTTATAAATTAAGTGGCTGAGATCTGTTGGGAATTAAGAGTTGGGAATTAAAAGGGCCCAGGAATATAATTTAATGTCATATAATACAGAAATATCACAATGAGATACATGTGGTAATTAGATTTATTCTTAAAAAAATAGTAAGTATAACCTTAAATCAGTAGGATTTCACAGACTTTTCAGATATTTGATTTTTGGCTTATAAGTGTAAACCATTGCTTTGAGTGCTATTTTCAACAATACAAAAATCACACTTGACTTAAGAACATTTATTCAATAATTTAAATTCCTCAGAAAACATCAAAAATGCATTACCATTATATTGTAAACATGATCAATATAAATCTTAAACCTGAAAAAAAGAACACAATCCCCAATAGCAGCACAAATCTCACCTCCTTCAGAGGCACATGTATATCAAAATTAATAAAAAGATCTGAACAGAATTGACCTGTCAATTACAATAAAGGAAAGAGGAGATTTTTTTAACAGGGATGATCCAAGAACAATACATTTGTGAAAGGTAATGAGGTGCCTTAAAATTCTCATTTGAAAATTCTGTGGAGGCTCATTAATGATCCATTCAATTATTCAGATTTGATCGTCTCAGGAAGCAATCACCAACAGCAGTTCTGGGATGCTAGTTGCAGCTTGCATTTGGAGGGTGCTGTATTAATGGTGCACAAGAAAAAGTATGTTATTAAACCTCCAGGTGAAGACTTCACCTCCTCCAAGAATTCTTTTCTGATGACTACCTTCTTTTAAATCTGCACTTTGGACTGAGTTCCTTGCACATTTATACACACCATTGTAATAAGAGAAGAAAAAACCTTTACAGAGAGAACAGTGAGGCCACTCTACACACATAGTGACACCCCCCCCCCAAGATTAAGCACACACACACATGCACACACAAACACACACATAACTAGAACAAAACTTACAGCTGCCTTCAAAGCTTGATCTAGATCATCCAGTAGGTCTTGTTTATCCTCTAAGCCCACCGAGAGTCGAATAAGTGTATCACTAATTCCAAGGACTTCTCTGTCGCTCTTAGGCACTGATGCATGGGTCATGATTGCCCTGGAAGAAAGAGTGAGCAAATTTCTGATCACTATATTGTAGCAGTGGAGGCATGTTTCTGTCTCATAAATTGCAATTATTTTCAATTTTTTTTTCTATTCTAAATATCAAATCCTTCATACATTCACCTGCAATGTTTTGTAAACAAAAGATTGAGGAATTGTGAAAATTATCTTTTCTGGTTATGCTTTTAAATGAAAACCACGATCTTTTGTTGTTTTTATACCATCAGTGAGGTATACTCAATCAGAAACTGAAAGTGCCAGTCAAGTGATCGCATACAGGAGGGAAAGACACAGCTTTCGGTGTGTGAATTTTAACACCTACCTGAATGAGGCCTTGGCCAGACGTCAACACCCCATGACCATCCAGCTGTACTTATAAGAGGCCTCTTGGACCAAGAGCTGGTCAGAATTAATTCTGTTTGGAGCAAAGGATCAGTCCAGAACTGGACCTTCTGAGACAGATCAGGGAAAAGACAACCTAGGATTGCTGGTAGCAATCACTGAGCACGAGGAATTAATTTCAACTCACAATTCATGACACAGAGGCCTCAGAGGATGTTTAAAACCATCTAGCAACTCACTGCAAACATCGACCTGTGTAAGGGTAGAGCACCTGTGGGTCAGGCACTACAGTGAAGCTGGGAAACCAAGAAGAAGGAGATATTATTTTTACCCTAGGTAACAAAGCAGAAGCTAAAGACTATGACAACTCACAAAACAGAACAGTCTATGGTGAGTGTTAAACAAGTACGGACAACAAGGGTTGCTGGAATTCAGTGGAGGCTGAATCTCTGTGGGCTGAGGCATCGTGGAGGAAAGGCTTACAGTCTTGCTGAGCACTTGAGTACGCTGCCCCCACACTCAACGCTCCCTTCCCACATCCAGCAGGAGTTACTTTCTCCTACCCACTTCAGGCCCATGGAAAGAAAATCTTAGTAAATGAGTATTAAATGAAGAACCTCTTTTATGACTCTAAGAAGTGATGCTCATAGTAAATGAATATCCTCTTCTATAACTCTTAATGAAGTTTTACATGCAAATGTCCTCCCCCAAAATTTCTGCCTTTTTAGGTTTTTAACTCCCTGAAAGAGAGTGAATACTCAGAAACAAGAACTTAGGCCTCTGGGAGCAAAAGACTTGGGTATGAATCTCAGCCCCTCCACATACTGGCTGTGTTGGACTTGTAAGTTACCAGTCCTCAAGTCAATTTCCTCATCTGGTACAGTGTTGTCGACATTTTACAACCAAGGAAACTAAAATGGAGAGTGGATAAGTGAGTTTTCTAAGGCCACTGAGCTAACACATGTTAGACTGAGAGACTGACCCAGGCCCCGTTGGTTCTGCTTCTCTCGCTGATTGCAATGCTGCACTGGTTGCAGCATTGTTGGGAGACTCGAAATGGGGAGGACAGAACAGACAAGCTCTGACCTAAATTTATTCTTCCACTGGCATTGGGGTTACAGCCTAGCTGGAGTGCCCGACGGCCTAGCAACTTTAGACCAAATCCCTAAATAAATCAGGTGAGGTCTACTTTTAAGAGTCTTAAACTAATACACACTGTATTACTATGAAAAATAAGCCAATTTCATATGCTGAGTGTGCCCTCTTGTGCATCCAGACTTACTAGCAGGCATCTTCCTGAGACGCTAACAAAAACTTCTCTGTCTTATCTTAACCATTTGAATCATTCTTTGGGCATCATCTTTTTAAGATTATGAAATTGCCTGACTCTCCCCATGAACTACTATAACAGGACAGAAAACGTGCCTACATGCTTAATCCCTGACATTCCTCAACACATAGTTATTTCAGAAATGTTTATGAAAATTAAAACATAGAAATATACCATGCATCTAATACAGCTGAAGATTAATAGCTAATGATGTTGATTTATCCCTGTGATAATTATAATATATGGTCATAGAAACTTACCTTCCTGCTCACTGTTTTTGAGGCAAAGCCTTGAGAGTGAAGTTGCTAACATATTTCTGTGTGACATTTGATCAATCAGCAAAACTTTCTGAATCTTTGTTTCTTTGTCTGTAATATAAGTTGCTGGACTCCCTGATTTTAGGTTTCTGTGTTCTAATACCCTCTGGTACTTTGATAAAATTAGATGAATTAGCTAGGTTAGATAGTGAAGGACCAGGAATACTAAGTTAGATTTGGGGGTTTATCTTGTAGAGCCTTTTACCCCAAAGAAAAGAAAATAAATGGACCTGATGGTGACTAGTAGGGCTCTCCTCTGACAGATAAGAATGTGGAGGTGTTTTATCGGAAACACATTTTCCATTTCCCTGGGAGCTTTGAAATCAGCCCTTCCAGTTCAAAATCTTCAATCTCCCTTCTAGGACAGAATCGGGTAGAATAAGTAGCCCTGGTTCAGAAGTCAGAGAACCACTGCTGAAATCTTCTTCAGGCAAACAGAGAAGAAAACAAAACTTGGGAAAACACAGCTTACTGATCCCAGTAGATTTTTAACAGGGTCTCTATTCTCTTGAGTTAAGAGTCCACTCCAACTGGACAAGGCCATGCTGCCCTTATTGCTAAATAACCTGAACTATCACTGATTTTATCCTAATCCTTTCTCAAACAATCATTACAGCTGATATCAAGGTTAAAATACTGAGAAAAACAGAAATATACTTACGGAAGCTCAGCAAGACTTTCATATCCTCCCAAGCTCTCAGCCAGAGTAAATAACTATGGCAAAAAAAAAAAAAAAAAATATATATATATATATATATATATATGTATCAATTTAGATCTTCCACTAAAATAAAGATACTAAAAAAAAACTAAAAATAAATGTTTTTAATACAGTGACCCTGCAATGCGAGATGGAAAATTGTAGCAATTATGAATAATTACTACAAAATAATTATTACAAAAACTACAAGCTGGATAAAACCTTGGAGAAAAAATGAAAATAAAATCCATAACAATGAAGCCATTAACAATTGATCTCACCAATTAGACATACTGTGTGTTAACTTTTAAAACATTAAAAGTTGATCAGAGTGAATCTTCTATACCTTCCTCATTTGACCTCATACAAAAGTAAACGTTAACATGAGCTCTCAAACCTCAGAATTATTACATTTGAGACCCAGCTCTGTGGTTACCCTTTATATAAAAATCTCTTAATGTCTATTAAGTTATACAAACTTACTCATTAATATGTACCATTTATCAAATGAATATACCCATTTAACCCCATCCTGGAGTAGAAGGGAAAAAAACTCAGTTGTTGCATTTAGTGTTACTGTGTATTACAGAAGTTTACAAACATGTTAAAAGTTACTTTCACAACTGTATGCAATTAAATGTACACTACTATATTTCTGATTTTAGAAGTGGACAAATTTTAGAACCAGTAAGACTTTGACTAATCTGGCAGCATCCTCTTCTTTTCTTTAGATCTGCAGCATTTAAAACTCAGAGTCTTAAATACATGACTGCCTGAACTCAAAGTAAACCCAAAGCATGCAGTTACACAGGCCTCTCTCTCAGGGCTCTGGAGACTCCTACCTCTGTGAACTTTAAACCAAGGCCGCCTTTCCCTTACTCCAGGCAGACAGCCTGAGAGGCACAGAGTTCACGAAGTCATTCCTAGGCTGGATTTCAGTACAGTTTTCAGCAGTGCATTGACACAGTACTGAGGTTTTTCATAACATTTCACTTGACAAGGCAGTTAGTTCACTAAAAATTTAAAAACAAATGGCTTAGAACATTCTGTCTCTCTCAAATGGATGAAAGCCTCTGCAGAGTTAAGAAAATGAACATGTTCTATCTGCTATCACATCACTCTTGCTTCAAGTGATTTTGTAATCCAATGCATTTCATGCCAAAGAGGCTTGTGGGTGTGACCTGCAGATACAAACACATTAATCTGAGTTGGGTATAAGTGAGAAATAATGAATATCATAATGCTGTAAGAAGGCCTTAATGTCTATAAATTTAAAAATGATTTTGTAAAGTTACCTTTAGGTTCTTGAGGAAAGTTTCAGCATGTTGAAGAGAGCCCTTGATATAAAAGGTGATCATCCCCGGGCAACCTGTGCACTGACGCTTAGCTAGCTCATGCTGAGGATGAGAAGGCAGCCCTGCAGTCGTAAGGTATAATGAATGTCTTATTTCAGAGTCAAACATGTAATTTCAGGACAACAACAACAAAAAATCACTGTTCATTTAGGTCATCTACAAATAAGGCTAATAACAGGCTTTATGCCATGTTCACATCTGACCTCTTGTTCTGGCCCCTGTCTATCTTGTGAAAGTGGTTCAGTTGTGTCCAACTCTTTGCAACTCCATGGACTATACAGTCCATGGAATTCTCCAGACCAGAATACTGGAGTGGGTAGCCTTTCACTTTTCCAGGGGATCTTCCCAACCCAGGGATTGAAACCAGGTCTCCCGCATTGCAGGCAGATTCTTTACCAGCTGAGCCACAAGGGAAAACCAAACTGCCTTCATTTTGACCTATCTTTTCTAGTCTCTCCTCGCTCTAGCCATGCCAGCTTTCTTTACACCAGTGGCACTGTACTCTTCTTTAATCTTGGGACTTTTGCACATGCTATCCCTTTAGCCTGGAACATTCTGCTGCTCACTGCCCCCTCCCCACTGTTAATTATATCCTCTGTAATTTCTTGCTTAATATCTGTCTTATCCATCAGGCTAGCTCCATGAAGAGAAAGATATTTCTTTTGCTAATAATCGGATCCCAGATCCCAGTACAAGCCTGTCCCATAGTTCACAATTGATAAACATTTATTGAAGAAATCTGAATTGCCTTGTCCAGGCCCTTTTAACAAATGCTAACCGATTTCCTCAGGGCACAGTCCAAAACTTTTCTCCCTCTCTCCATTCAAAATACACACCAGTCAACAACTCTTTACCTAGTGTACATATTAAGGCATTTAGTCTCATTTGTATTTCTGCCTTGGCTTACCTAAATGCCTTAAAGGTAGGGATCAAGCATAATTTTCCTTTACACCCAAGACTCCATGAATGCACACCTCAAAAGGATTTAAAATAACTATTTACTTACGACCACCACAATATAAAAGTCTGATAAAATAAATTCAAAGAGTAACATGTTAGTCTGCTAACTCACATTAGCACTTACAGATATTGTGAGAAGTGAAGGAATTCCAAAAAAGGTAAGAGAATTTCAGGGGAATTTTGGTATCAAGTTTTAACTTGGTAAGCATGAAGTCTCAATGTATATCAGATAAAAGTTAGAGCTAGTACAGAACAGCAGACTGATAAGATTATAAGCAAATCAACCTGAAAGTACAAGGTTGTAATCCTGGAATGTTGTTGTTCAATCACTAAGTCGAGTTCCACTCTTTTCAAGCAGAGTCCAAGCATCCACTAGACTATTAGACAACTCTAGGCTAAAAAGCACATCTATTTTCTTTACCATCAGACACACATAAAGCAGCACTCAATGATAAGTGGATAACAACAACAAAAATATATGAAAGCACCTAACTTACAAATGTTACATAAACAGAATGCAAGGGATAGCATGTAAAATCCTAGAGTAACCACATGTGCTTAGAAAGCAGATTAACATACCAGGATAAATAACTTTTTCCACCTGAGGATTCGACTCCAAAAACTGAGCAATTGCCATTCCATTTTCGAAATGCTTCTCCATGCGGACTTGTAGAGTCTTCAGACCGCGATTGCAGAGGTAACAGTCAATAGGAGATGGAACTGCTCCAAGAGCTGCAAAATGAATATGTCCTGGGTTAGTTTGAAGGTGAAGATGGACCCAGAAAAGCCTCTCACCACTCTTATTCATCATAGTGACTATAGGAAGCTAACGTCAAAGCCCAATATTTGAGTTTTAGTGGGAAAAATTAATATATCAAATAAGAAGAATGAGAATGAGGCATAAAAACATGCTTAGAGAAATGGGCTTTAAAATGAGAAGGGAAATGAATATCCTAAAAACAAAGTACAAATACAATCACATAAATTTTTCAAATATAAGCATCAATAGTCCTTTCCATGATTTTAATAAAAGGATGCACTGCACATAGCTTAATCTTGTATTTCTTTAAAAGAGTATTAAAACACAGAGAGAAAATAGCAGTTCAGCCCCTATTATTCCTGGGTGTTCTACCAACATTCTACTAATATTTAGCTTCTGGCTAAGGCAGCCTGTGGTTTCCCAGGCCTCCAGGATACATGCCTCATTCCTTCTTTTTATAAATGAAAGGAACTTAGCACACAATAAATTCTGGTTACCTTCCTCAATGCCGCCTTTTGTTGCTCTAACATTTATTTCCTAGAAGGGGATTTTTATTCCTAATTATACTGATCTCTGTCAAATCACGTTGGTTAAAATCAAGTCTTTTTCAATAAACCCTTATCAACATCTGAGATAGTAAACAATCTAAACAGAAAACAGATATTTAGATATCTGTTGAAAAATACAAGTTTATATCTTAAGTGCCATTTAAAATTAGATATCATTCCATATATAAAACGCATAGTATAAGAAAGCCATCATTCCAAATGTTTAAAAAAAAAAAAACCCATTGTCTTAAAACTAAAAATTCACTTGGGCTTTACCAAGTTGTGATCAATATTGACATGGATTTGAAATAAGAAAACATCCCTTGGCCATGTTGTAATGCTCTATTACACTATAATTGCATTTTTACAACCCAATTTTTCTTTCCTCTAAAAAAAAAAATCAGAATTTTCCTTCTATTCCCCATTTCTTCGTAAATTAGTGGAATGCTATCACTTCACAACACTTAGTGGAAATACAATATCAAATGTAGTCACTTTGAGAGCACAAAGGGAAATGCAGACTTTTTAATACTTACAATTTTGCAAGAAACGGAGCCTATTATGAAGGCTCTCAGAATTCAGCGACACTAAGCCCATTACAACATCACTGTGGCCTAAAAACAAAACCAAAAGGCTTTAAGTTAAAAAACAATGTATAAACATTATTCCTCAGTTTATAATTTCTAAAATTAGACTTTCACTTGAAAAAAATCTCTGGGAAAAAGCCTTATAGAATAAGTTTAAATACACTTTACTCAATTTGATAGTAACAAAGGCTATATCTAAAACAATAAAATTAAAATCCTATAAAATATGTGTTTCTTTGAAAGCTGTCAGCAGGTAAAATCTTTTACAGTAAATTTTAATCCTTTGCTGATATACCATGAGCGTAGTTTTGTCTGCTATAAATGAAGTCCTATATTTAATCAAAGGATAATTTTCTAACTTTCTACATGTGTCAGAGAAAATCTGTATAATAGTAGAAGAAAAAGGACAAAAGGATAAAGCCTTATGATATTATCATCTATCCATGGAAAAGAATGAAGTGTAGACTATGTGTGTCTTACCATTCATGTATTTTGTTGCTGAATACATACAAATATCAGCTCCCAGAGACAAAGGCCGCTAAAAAGGAATTAAAAAAAGGTTTTTATTTTAAATGGGAAATCACTTGAAAATATCCTGCATTACTTATCTATTTACTATTGTAAATTCCACCCCTATTTTAATTTTTCAAAAATACATACATCTTAAAATTTTCCAGGACCTCTATTTACCTTTCCCTTGATATCATCTTTCCCTTTCCTCCCTCACACCAAATAAAACTACAAAAGTATTGGATTCATTATTCAATCCAAAGGCAGACATTTTCTGGAAATAGCAGATAACTCAGGTCAACAGGCCTTCTGAACTTGTTTCTTTAGCACAGTTGCTGACTAGCCTCTAAATTTATTACCTACAGAAGACACGCTGGCATTTTATGACTCAGTAAATGCACCGAATGGTTGACACAAACACTTAGCAATTGTTATGTCAAGTAAATGTAAAACTAATTTGCTTAGGTTTTTAATCATTAAAACCTTACAGTGTATGCTGGGGTTATTCATTTTATTTGTTATGCTCTTGACTCTTAATTACTCTTTTATTATTCTAGTTTTGTCAAGTGTAAAATCACTTGTACAGAAATGTGTTTAGATTGGTTTCCCTCACCCAATTTTCCTGCAAAGTAGTTCTTTAGTCTTAGACATCTTTGTTTACAGTGAAAATTAATAACCAAGTTACTCACTAACCAATATAATATCAACATCTTTTCATTTAAAATTTCTTGAAAATAAAGTGTGTGTATGTGCAGGTGTGTGTATGTGTGTGTGTTTAACCTCACCACTTGGAGGCTGGGGGACTTTTCATTTAAGTTCTCAAAAACAGGACACTTTAAGTAAAGTACTGCTCAAAGCACTCTGTACATATGTGTTTGCTCATCTCTAAAGTGATGGGTCAAATTAGACGATGTGTGAAGACTGTTCCAGGGCTAAGATTCTGTAAATCCTATGGTCAAAATGAAAAATAAAAGCCTGTAACTAACATCTGTTGATCTCATTATGCTCCAAAGATCATGTTAAGTATTTCACATAACTTAGTGAAGCAGTGTTCAAAAATACTTCAACTCACTAAAATCAGTATGTTTATGACTCTAATTGTACAGAGAAGGAAAAGGAACTGAAAAAAATAAAATAGATCACTCAGATTTTAAAAACTGGTAGAGTCAGAACTCAGACTACCAGAATCCAGAGATTCTACTCTGAAACTTTATGCTGGTATGTCCACTTTGCCTTTTGTGAGACTTGCAGAAGATCAAGAAGACAAAAGGCAGGAAAAGAAAGAACATACCCAGTTTTCATGAGGGTAAAACAAAGAGAGGATCTTTTCAGAAGATTTGCTTTGTGGAACCAATGCATGCAGTTGCCTAGGGACAATGTGACTCTGACTAATTCAACTGGAATGAATCCAGATTGAAATGAAGTCAATTGCAGTCCCTGGCAAGTGGAATATGATGTGAGCTTCAGAAAAGTGGAAAAACTGGACCTATTTTAGTGACAGTAATATGAGAAAAAGGGTCAGGCCTGATGAGTAACCTGGGCAGGCTCAAGCTAAAACAATTCATGCAATCTCTTTGAGAATATACAGGACTTAGGATGACTCAGCCAGAGCAATCCTCTGCTATATTAACTGCCCTACTCCAACTGGTAGATGGAGTAAGGAGTGGGTATAAAAACTCCCAGAGTGAAAATCACCTGGGACAAACAGATGATGCCAGGAGATTTTTACTTGGAAACAGATTGCTTTACTTGAGATAAGACTCAGCTGAAGCTATATCACAAGCCACAGGGAGGCAGGGCGCGTGAAACCATCAGAATACAACGCAACCAGGAAATGTGTTTCAGGAAAGAAAGACAAAACACAGCAGTGCCTTCTGAATAAAACAGACTGAGGCATCTGGTCCCATCACTTCATGGGAAATAGATGGGGAAACAGTGGAAAGAGTGTCAGACTTTATTTTGGGGGGGCTCCAAAATCACTGCAGATGGTGACTGCAGCCATGAAATTAAAAGACGTTTACTCCTTGGAAGGAAAGTTATGACCAACCTAGATAGCATATTAAAAAGCAGAGACATTACTTTGCCAACAAAGGTCTGTCTGGTCAAGGCTATGGTTTTTCCAGTGGTCATGTATGGATGTGAGAGTTGGACTGTGAAGAAAGCTGAGCGCCGAAGAACTGATGCTTTTGAATTGTGGTGTTGGAGAAGACTCTTGCAAGTCCCTTGGACTGCAAGGAGATCCAACCAGTCCATCCGAAAGATCAGTCCTGGGTGTTCATTAGAAGGAGTGATGCTGAAGCTGAAACTCCAATACTTTGGCCGCCTCATGCAAACAGTTGTCATTGGAAAAGACCCTGATGCCAGGAGGGATAGGGGGCAGGAGGAGAAGGGGAAGACAGAGGATGAGATGGCTGGATGGCATCACTGACTCGATGGATGTGAGTTTGAGTAAACTCCGGGAGTTGGTGATGGACAGGGAGGCCTGGCGTGCTGTGATTCATGAGGTCGCAAAGAGTCGGACATGACTGAGCGACTGAGCGGAACTGAAGGTGAAAACAGCTTTGTGCAAACTCCCAGGGAGTCAGTCCCTCACAAGGAGGCAGCAGCCTGGGCCAACTTCAGGGACCCATAACAAGAAGGGAATGTAAACTACTGAGCTTGTAAACATCAGCCTAACTGAAGAGCTGAAGAAAATGAGCTGGGGTTTTAGGAACTCTACAGAATACAGGTGAACTACAGGAAGTGCAGTAAGAATGACCACAAGGTACAGACAGAAAGTAAAGAGCAGGGAGATGGTAACTCCTGATAAGGAAAGGAAATAGTTAAGTTACTCAGGGAAAGAGAGGTAAAACATGTGGCAATGGCAGACAACTAGGCAATTATAGAAAGATTCCCAAGATGATCTACCAAAAGGAGCAAAACAGAAAGGAAAAAGTACAAGGAAAAAAAGAAAGGGATTGAGGATGGATGGCAGGGTTTAAGTTGGGAAGAGGTGTATGAAGAGGGATAAGTAGGAAAAGAGTTTAAAAGGAGAACAATAAAGGAGCTGCACAGATACAAGGTGATACATAGAATAGGAATTTATGATACAAGTCAGGTAAAGATACATAAGGCCAGGAATGGTCTATGAAACAGGAAGAGAAGACAAACTAGAAAGAAGGAAGGAAAATGGAGAAATAACATGTGTTTTACCTAGCTAGCCTTGCAAATAAAGGAAAAGAAAAGCTATACTCAATGACATTTCAGTATACGATGGACATCTGCAGGACTTACAATGACATGTATGTATGTAAATATATACACAAAACTGACTTAGAACCAACACATAAACATTGAATTCCCTATTATGTGTTAGGCACTGACATATACAATCATATAATAAGGGAAGGTCTTCAGAGAGTTTACAGATAACCTAAAAGCTTTAATGAAGATAATATTTAAAAAATACAAAGTCCCATACAATATACTAGCCTAGGGTTGAAAAAATATTAACTAATGGTAGGAAAGATCCAATTTCAATTCTTTGTCTGATCAATAATTGTGATTAGGTTTCATGTAACTTAATATAAAGAAGTCCTTCCTCTCCTAATTACAAGTACCTGTGTAGTCTACCAATTATGCCAAAAATATTACTTTCATTTACCTGGAAATATGCTGACATAAAAGTGTTATCCACAACCAAGATGATGTCTCCATGTTTATGGACCGTATGTGCACAGGCTTCAATGTCAATCATCTTCAAGCTAGGGTTTGTGGGGGTTTCAATCCAAACAAGCTAAAACAATTCAGTAAATGACAGCAGTTTGTAAAAATACACTGCACAAACATATATCTCATGCACTGTAACCATCTGGGAGGCTACACGGGAAGACCATGGAGGATGAAGTTTAAAGGTCTGAATCTGAATCCCAGCCCCATGAATTTCTGAGAGGTCATCACACCTAAGTGACTAACCCTCTATGTGCTCCGAATTTTTCATCTATGCAATACGATTGATATCATTTACTTTATACAGTAGTCATAAGGATGAAATGAGATAATGTACATATAAGCAGAAGAGCACTCGAGTTAGTCACTATAAGTATTTTCCATTAAAAAGAGGATGAATTCCAAAGACATGTTACAAAGTCTGGGAATTCTGCTCTCAAAGATAAACAAAAGATTGTGTAAGATTACATTCTGGAATTTTCAGTAAAGAGAACTATTTGATGCCAAAAATATTATGACTAGTATCTTAAATAATGTCAGATGCACTAGAAACTACAAAATAAGTCCCCAGAACCTGAAGAAGAGCATGGGTTTTGGAGTGAGGAAGATGATACATACAGAACAAAAAAACCCGGCCACAGCTCACTTAAGAGATGGTATCATATTATCTGTCTATTCCTAAACCTAGCACAATCCCCACATCATGTATGTTTGATAGTTATTGAAAAGACCAAAGAACAGAATTCTATTTGTTAAAACAAGCTGCTACTATTTTGACTGACATTATCTACTGTGCTTTGCTTTGCTTCACTGCTCAGTCGTGTCCAACACTTGGTGACCCCATGGACTGTAGCCCGCCAGGCTCCTCTGTCCATGGGAATTCTCCAAGCAAGAATACTGGAGTGGGTTGCCGTGCCCTCCTCCAGGGGATTTTCCCAATCCAGGGATCAAACTCAGGTCTTCCGCATTGCAGGCAGATTCTTTACTGTCTGAGACACCAGGGAAGCCTGACATTATCTACAGCTTTCTTTTTAAAAGGGTTGATGGTTCTTTCTTCATTGCCTATATAAATGAGCAAGTGATCTGGTTTAATACTCATCCTATTTTAGAGTTTTACCATAGAAAAGATAGGGTAGTTAAAATAATGCATATTCTACAAGAGCAGAATTATTTGAGAACCTATAAAAATTTATTCCTGGGTAAGAATTAATCATTCCCATTCATAATTTTTAAAAGTAATTAAAATAAAAATAAGTAAATAAATACAAAGTAGATTTTACCTAGACTTAAAAAATCTACTTTAAATGATGAGGCAGATATATGGGGGGGGGGGGGAAATGTATTAATTCAAGTTGGTAAGGAACCACTATATAAAGCTCTGCTGACAAGAATTAATATACACACAATTTGCTTTCCTCCCCTAGAAAGACTCAGACCATCTATTTTAATATCTTTTCTCCCAAGGAAGAAAAAAAAGAAAAAGAAAAACAACAAGTTCCTTTGAAAACAAACCTTAATCATTCAAAGAGCACCCTGGAGTTAATCTTCAAAGTAATTTGTATGAGAAAAAGTTTTCTCTTTTTTAGCATTCACAGCAACATAATCTTGAGTACAAACCTTTTAATCATTAGTAAAAAGTTGGAAAAGGCTGACACTTATAAAAGACGCTGGTCCTTCTTTTCCCCATGCAGAATTTCAATGAGGTTCCAAGAAAGAATATCACAAATGCCATTCATTCCAGCACAAAACACCTTCCAGTGGCATACAAGCCTTCCTAGGACGGAGGCTGAGGATCGCTTGTGGCCCTTCTGTGCTTCTATTATTTTGCTGAAGTATCCTTCAGAACCCTTACAGCTATGCTTATTAGGATTTGGGAGTTTACAAGCTTCCTTTCTGTAATCCAAACTCTGTGATGACTTCTGTTACCAATACTAGCTTGGTAATGCAGTTAAGAATTGTCTGCTTTTGCTAACAAATTTTTTAACTGTCATCATGTATTGAGTACCATAACAAGGATTTCCTATGCCTTATTATCTCTGGAGGAGGGCATGGCAACCCACTCCAGTATTCTTGCCTGGAGAACCCATGGGCAAAGGATCCTGGCAGGCTACAGTCCATGGGGTCACAAAGAGTTGGACACAACTGAGTGACTAAGCACAGCATATGCCTTATCTCATTTAATTTACCCAACTACCTTTTAATAAAGCAGGTAAATTACCCCTATTTAGTAAATGAAAGAAATGAGACTTTGATTAGATAATTTGCCCACGATAATACACCAACTATGACATAGAATTAGAATTTGAATCCCACTACCAAATGCATGTACCTAATCATTAGGCTACAGTACCCAACAGAAGTCAGACCTATCCTAATCTTGATGGCTTCCAATGCAGGAAAACCAGTCATTCAGATTTAAATTATGCCCTCAAGTAAACAGAAATGAACATTTAAAAATCACAAGGAAAACAAACAAACTGAAAACTGAGTTACCTTGGTTTCTGGTGTAATAGCTGCCTCTAGCAATTTGGTTTTGGAACAATCTACAAAAGAAATCTTTAATCCAAATTCAGTTGCCACCTGCCTGAAGTACCTGTTTGTACCTGAGGCAGAAGAGAATCAGATAAAATGAAAAAGAACATTGTATTTATAAATATTCATTCCTTAAAAGTAAACACTTTAAAAATATGAGGAAGTGTCAATCACCAATATAGAAACAACCAAAAGCAAGTCTACTTTATTTTAACAGCTGGACCTCCCTGTATGCTAAAGAATGTACTCAGTTGCTCAGCTGGGTCCATGCGACCCCAGGGACTACAGCCCTCCAGGCTCTTAGGCTCAGGGGATTTTCCAGGCAAGAATACTGGAGTGGGTTGCCATTTTCTCCTCTAGTGGATCTTCCTGACCCAGGGATTGAACCTGCATCTTCTGCATTGGCAGGTGGATTCTTTACCACTGAACCACCTAAAGAATATAGCTTAAATTTTAAATTAAAAGTATAAGAGTCAAATAAAACACACTTGATACCCACACCAACTGGCATGAAGCAGAAAATGTTTAACAGTCTCTACTCTTCAAACATAAAGTTGTATGCTTCCCTAAAACATCAACATCTCTTTCTAAGAATTCCTTCCTAGTACTTAAATCTAAAATAAATGAGCCAAAGTCAGTGAAATGTTCAAGGTAAATTTTCAGACTGATTATACTATGGTAATAGAAAAGAACTAGTTATTATCCTTTGTACTTTCTCAATCTTTTTGTTATGTGGTTCTGAAAGCTTTAATAGAAAAATGAGATCATAAACCAAACAACTAGAGTTTTATAGTGAAAGAAGATAAATCATTCCATTCAGAATAGTTAATTTTATAAATACTGGTCTGGATTTAAGGTTTACATATGCAAAATTAAAGAAAAGTTTACCATTATTGACAGTGAACCAAAAAAGGAAAAAGAATTTTATCATCAAAGACTCACTAGACCTTTGGTAGACTGACCCTAGGTAATTTAAGATTGAAAAAGAATGTAAAGAATTGTTAAAAAAAAAATCAACAGCAATTTTCAAGATTTTGTACATAGGTTTATCAAGAGGTTTTAATAGTGCATTATAATAGCATCTAAAGGTTTGATTTTTCTATAATTTCAATTCATCAAACTATCATAGGGAGCTATGATAAAATGTAAAGCTTTTTACAAATTTCTGAGAGGGATAAAATGATTACTAAGAGTAAGTCTCTTCCTTCAAAGAACTTACAGATTTAACTTGTTGTTCAAATAGGAGATAGATAAAGTGATAATATTCTAGAAGTGATCTTTTAATTATCTGGAAGCATTTGGAATATACATGTACATTAAAAATTTTTTTTTGCTGCTGTTTTGAACACAAAAATCAGTCTTACTTAAAGATAAGGGCAACTTGTTTTCCTTACTTTCCCACTTACCACTTTATATAACTAGCATTTAAACAATTTGGAATAAAAGTTCTTAAATTTGTATCCACAGATAGGCTACAAAGAGTAAGGCCCTTTGACCTTAAAATTAAAATGATAAATGTTGAGTATAGTCTTAAGCACATTTTTTGGAGAAAAAGGTCCATAGCTTTCAACGGGTCTTCAAAAGGGTCCCTAAAAAAAATCAGGGGGCAAGGTGCTTAAGAGTTGGTTAGGGTTAAGTCCTTTGAGAATGACCTGGACTATAGACATTTTCACTGCAGGCAAAAATTTTAAATTATAGTAGAACACTATCTCTCTAAATACTGTCTTCTCTGGAGCAGTGTATGTCTCAAATAGATTCATCCCAGCAGCTTAAATGGGCTTCCCCCAACAGTAAAGAATTCACCTGCCAATGCAGGAGATACAAAAGATGTGGGTTCAACCTCTGGGTAAGGAAGATTCCCTGGAGGAAAAAATGGCAACCCACTCCAGTATTATTGCCTGGAGAATCCCATGGACAGAGGAGCCTGGTGGGCTACAGTCCATGGGATTATAAAGAGTTGGACACAATTTAGTGACTGAGCATGCATGCAGCAACTTAAATAAAATTGTTATTAAACAATCAGTCTTATAAGCAGTTCTAGAGCATAGATCCTCAGTGTTTCTGCTCCTCCTTTATCAAATGTGGAGCAGCATGAAGGTGTTCATCATATTTTGAAAAGATAAACAATAACCCAAGTAGCAATGTTAATATAATTCAGGACCCAGTTTATTGTCTTTAAAATAACAGCTGAAACAGCATGAATGAGAGGTCACCTACCTCCATACACATCATCCATACAAATAATTTGGTCTCCTGCTTTTAAGAGATGAGTAATAGTCACAGTGGCTGCTAAACCTGAAGCAAAGGCCAAACCTAAAATAAAAACCAAGCTAGAGTAAGCCAAAATGCCAGACCCATAGGTTAAAAACACCTACAGTATTTATTTGCGCTGCTTTAAATCCCTCTCTCTGCTGACTGAAGGACAACTATCACTACTGAGTCATCAGAAATCCCCTGATTAATACCATTACAAAATCCTCCATTCTATTTCAAAAATAAAAAATACCTAATTCTGCTTTGGTTATAACAACATCTCTCTGAAAAGCTTCAAAGAAATAATTGTTTACAAAATTCTGAGTCAAAAGATCAATTGCCAATTAAATTACAGTTTAAAAATATCAAACTCTAAAGATTTTAGGAACAGCGCTAAGATGTGATTCATCCATTAACTATATGATATTCAATTGAGCAAACATTTTAACAAAATTCAAAATCATACTTGAGATGTCTGATAAATTTCATTAAAAAAAATTTTTTTAATGTGGATTCTCTTCTAAACATACATGATCTGGAATCACATATTGAATAAAAATAGTGAAATTGAACAATAAAAAGAAATAACTGGCATTGTACATTAGACCCTGTAAAGGAAAACATCCTACAAAACATCAGTATATCTCCTTGATGATAAAAGAAATCACCTATGACTGATAGATGGGATATCCAGTTAACTTGAAAAAGGTAATTATTTCAAAATTTTCTCAGAAAAGTTGAGGTTGGTATTGCAGTTTTCTACTAGGCAGATTCACAGTCCAACCACGAATTCATATAGAAAGCTAACCTTGAAATCCAATTCAAAACAACCATGTATTCTGCAGTCCACCTGTAAAGTGTCTAGCATATGAACCATCAGCTTTTATATCCTCTGTGGGAAATGTTCCTCATACAGTATTAAATATCAGAAATTTGGTGTTTAAAACATTCTCTCATCTAAAAAAAAAGAAACCTCAACAACTCATGTTAATATATCTAATTCCTACACTCTTGCTGTGAGAAAATTCCTAAGACTCTTATTTTCTAACTCATTATTCTGCCCTCATTTAGTATCATTGTTTTTTTTTTTGTTTTTTTTTATTTTAGTTTTTCTTTTTTTTTTAGTTCTACCACTTTATTATTTTTTTTTCATTTATTTTTATTAGTTGGAGGCTAATTACTTTACATCATTGCAGTGGTTTTTGTCATACACTGAGATGAATTAGCCATGATTTAGTATCATTTGTATAAAAAATACAAAGATGATTTAACAGCCATCCATTCTATTCACTGAAAGAATACAAGATCTGAGGTGTTAATTCATAATCTCTGAAATCACAGTATCAAGGGCACCTGGCTATTGCAAATGTTCTTTGGTTCTATTCTTGGGCCCCAACAGCAGTTGATATGAGATTCCCTAGAACTTACTCATCAATTTCTCATATTTTTAAAAGCCATTTATACTTTTTTTCCTATGGAATGGCTATTCAAATCTTGTGTTAATATTTATATTGGTTACCTTCTCATTAACTTGTAAGAGATTTTTATATATTGAAAAAGTAGCCCTCTGCTTAAAACACACACACACACACACACACACACACACAATAGCAGGTGAATGAACCAGAGCATTAAAAGGTTTATGTTCTCATGCATGGTGTTATAAAACTTGGTTAATTTGTATCTATTTATATTGACAGCTCCAGGTGAAGAGTGAATTTACATGAATACTAAGTGACACATTCTGCCACTTTGCCTCTATTCAGATTTACTTTCACTTTGTAGCTACACATATACATATGAAGTCCACTGTGCAACCTTGGGCAAATCAAGTCTTAGAAAAACAAGAGTTTTGAACTAGCTGATTTCCTTATTTCTTTCCAATTCTACATTCCGTGCCTCTATGATTTTCTCTATATAAGTAAGAATGAATTCTAGATTTTACAAACTTTGAAATGAAAATCACTTACTGTACTTGGCCCCATCCAGTGCTGCCACTGCTTTTTCCAAGCAATTCCGGGTGGGATTTCCAGAACGGCTATACTCAAAACCCTGAAGGAAAGAAGTCAGAGTTCACCCTAAGAGATTTAAATTTATTATCAGAGTCTTAATATGAACATCTCCACAACTACAGAGGCATCCTACCATAAGGACTTTCTGTTGTTTATCTATGACATGTCTTGCCATTATAGACACAAGAATGAGTGTTATGGCTGTAGTGGTAAGGAGAAGCTCTGAAGTCAGCCAAACTGGATTAGAATTCTGTGTCTGCCACTTAGGAGCTATATGCCAATAGATAAGTTACTTAATATTTTCCAGAATCAATCTCTAGACCTGTAAAATAGGAATAAAATACAGGTATCTAGTTCATAAAATTGACATGAAGATAAAATGAGATAATATATAATAACTTCTCTGCATGATGCCTGGCATGTGCTAACTACTGGGATAAATGGTAGTTTTTATTATTAGCATTATTATTATGTTAGACTCACCCTTACCCATTAATCTAGGGGCATTAGGAAACAGGAATCACCTTAATCAACAAAGTAAACCTATTTCTAACCTGCATGTCATTTCCTAAAAAATAAGTGATGCAAATTCTGTTTAGCATCCAGCAGGAAGATACGCTTACAAATGCCTGAAGTTCAGGTCTTAGTTCTACAAAAGTGACTCAGAAAAGGGAGTCATTCTCAGCAAAACAGCTCTACACAATCCTTTTTTAAAATTTGCATTATATTCCTTTTACACATACGGTACTATACTAGCTGAAGTCATCCAGTCATTTTATTTGATATTTATTTTTATTGAGGTATAGTTGATGTACAATATTACTTTGTTTCAGGTGTACAACATAGTGATTCACAATTTTTAAAGGTTATATTCCATTTATAGTCATTATAAAATATTGACTATATTCCCCATGTTGGTACTAAGCATTCTTATAGCTTATTTATTTCATATTGTAGTTTTTAACCTCTTAATCTCCTGCCCTAACTTCCCCCTCCCCTTTTCCTCTCCCCACTGGTAACCATGAGGTTCTCTACATCTGTGAGTATGGTTTTTTCTTGTTGTTGCTATAGTGACTAGTTAGTTTTCTTTTTTAGCTTTCACATGTAAGTGATATCATATAGTATTTGTCAGTCTCTGTCTGTATCCAGTCATTTTATTTAATCCTCACAACCTCCTCTGAAGAAACTAAAGCCAAATGTTACCAGGTATGTCAGAGCCAGAATTCAAAACCACGATTTAAACACTGACTAAAAATCCTGTACATACTTTTCTCCTGCTGCATACAGCACATGGCAAAACATAACCACTTTTTACACCTGGTTCTGACTCAGGAGCTCCCAGTAGTAGTTACACACACATGTACATGCATGTGTGCTAAGTTACTTCAGTCATGCCCAACCCTTTATGACCCTATGGACTGTAGCCCGCCAGGCTCCTCTGTCCATGGGGACTTTCCAGGCAAGAATACTGGAGTGGTTTGCCATACTCTCCTTCTGAGGATCTTCCCAACAAAAACACATATATTACACAAATGTATATATAATCTGTAGTTTATTTAGTTTTGTTGCCTTATTTGTTGCCATGTTTTTAACAAACTTAGTAGGCATATTTTATAGGGTTCCAGGATATCCTCATCACTCTCCACCATCGCCTCCTTGATGGGACCTGCAGCTGTACTCCAGATGCAAAAAAACTGTCTGGAATCATGTGGCTACTGCCATGGAAAGGTAGCCCATATCTTCCTAAATATTCATGGCAAAGATTTAAATTTGTGGAGAGAAAAGAAGCATATTTCAGTGGCAAATTCCCACACTATCACTCATTCAATGGTTTTCCAAATGGAACTGAAGAATTAGATGCTTCTCATTTCAGTTCCTTGATTCTCTTTAGTGCTCTTAACTGATACATTAAAGGCAGTAAGAGGAGTTTGGAGGGACTTCCCTGGTGTTTCAGTGGTTAGGACTCCCAGCTTCCACTGCAGGGGGCACAGGTTTGGTCCCTGGTCGGGGAACTACTACTAAGATCCCACAAGCTGCACAGCATGGTGGGAAAAAAGAGTTTGTGGATTTTATCACCTGGTTGGCTCTCTGAAAACATTTAGTTATTAATATCATAGCTAAATTATTAAGTTTTGCATTAAATATTAAAGCTTGGGCAGCTACACGTTCATGAAGGCTTACACTGGAAAGGAGCTTGAGAGACAGATGTGTACACATTTTGATTACAAGTTACAATAGCTCAAAGTATCCTAAACCAGTTGTAGAAATGCCCTTAGAACTCCACCTCACAAAACAAAGGGCCACGTCTAAAAGAACTTCCTCAACTTATATAACACCCTAAAGAGGTGTTTGAAGTATTGATACAACCAAGGTTTTAGATCTACAAAGTTTATTTAGTTACATTTGACACCTGAACAACTCTTGAGTTAGGGTGCCAACCCTCTGCTCAGTGGAAAATCCATGTACAACTTACAGTTGGCCCTCCATATCTGAGGTACATGTGAACACTATTAAACTACTAAGCGATTATAATGTATCATACCATATATTTTAACGTACATATCAACAACTTACATGGCTGGTACTATTATTAAAACATTTATTTACACAGGATAAGTTAAATTACTTATAAGTAAGTAGATAAGTTAAATTACTTCCTCAAGATTGCCCAGCTCAGAAGAGGTGCTGTTAGAATTCAAACCTAGGGCCTCTGACTTCAAGATTTATGCTCTTAATCACTAAGCCACACTGATGCAATGGGTAAGATTGTTGCTAACATAACTGTTAGTGCAGCACAGTGTGGATTAAAGCCCAAGAGTAGGTGGTGTTCTAGAGCAAGAATGAATCCCAGCTCCATTACAGTGGCCTTTGCAATAGATGCTTAACATCCCTAAACCTCAGGTTTTTCATGAGAGAAATGAGAACTTAGTTCAGAATAGAATTGCTGTAAGGATTATCTGAGGTAATATATGTAACACACATGATATAATGTAGGTATGTACTGATATCTGGCATACAGCAGTACTCAATATCTATTAATAACTACTGGAATAATATTGGGAATTAATAGTTATTGGGACGGATCTTGATTCCAGGTGAGTTATGACTTAGTTTTTTAAGTTGACTTCTTACTATATCTTTATAATTTTTGTTGCTTACGGTAACTCAAGGAAGTTATGATAATTTTGACCTGCAAATCTGCCCTAATCACATGAATATCAGTCCAAATCTATACAGCAAGTTAGACAAACTGTTCCCTCTAGTCCTGCTTATCAAAAGAAATATGATCACTGAACCATCCGATACAAAGCTTTACTACAAGGAGGTTTACAGGTATCATCCTTACAGTAAACATCCTTACAAATTACTTGCGTGCTTCTTAATTTACAAGCCATCTCTCTTTTACCGCCCAACACTGGACCGCCCCAGACACACCCAGCTCACCGAGTGCTGGCCAGGAGCCCCTTGCTTGAACGTGGTGGACAGCGAGATGGGGGGCACTACAGCCTGGGAGGTCCATTGCTCCGGTTCTTGGCCAACGTGGATGGCCTGCGTAGCGAAATGCTGGAACCTAGGCAGGAATCCGTGTGGGGAGGCTTCTTTTTCCTGCATGCTGAGCTGCGAAGAACGGAAAGAGTGAAAGAGCGAGGAAGATAAAACTCTGAAACTGATACGTCGGGACTTGAAAAAGACAGAAGAATCAGGTGAATGGGAGGTAAAGGTACGCAGGGAGATTCAGCCGCGAATGCACTAGAGCCAAACCCTACCCCTCTGTAGCTGGGACTTTATTAACCGGCCGGTAGCGTTGCTTCACCCCGGGGCGGAGCCAGCACGACCCAATGAGCGCAGGCCCCAAAGCGGCCCCCGCTTCTCATTGGCTAGCAGCAGAGGCGTAGCCTGGAGCGTCACCGCCGAAGCTCTTCCCGGTGCAGGCTGTTCAGTGAGGCTGGATGGAGTCTCTGTTAACCAGCTTGGTGTTGGTTTCTGCGGGTGAAATTCCTGAGTCCTGACCCTAGGAAAACTTCCTTGCTGGCTCCTGTGAGCCACCCAGACGTCTATGTGACCTCAGACCAGAGGTTCACGGGAGACGAGGAGAAAAACTGGCTTGATGTTGAAACCCAGTAACCTGAAAAGAGGCCACACAGATAGCTTCCTCTTTAACAGCAGCCCTTGCCTGGACCCTTCCCCACCTCCACCTACCACCCTTTGTCCTGAGGGCGGTTCCGAAGGACGCAGGCGACAAAGTGGAGACCGGTGACGAAAACGGCGGCCCAAGCTGCCAAATGCGCAGTTTGGATTCTCGTTAACAGCGGGCAGCCTGCCTTTGAAAGTACGCTTTCTGTAATGACCCAGTATTTAACGCTGATTGAAATCGGAGTGAGAGTCGTATTTTTAAGTAATAGTAAAGCTACTGTAGAGAGGATCTCTAAGGAAAACTCTTGGCAGCTTTCTAACAGCTATTCAAACATAATTATCTTTTGAAGTACCCAGAGAAACCTCTCTCTGATGAAATGCAAAACAAAGTGTGGCTTTGAAAAACTTATTGGAGCCTTAAATCATTAGACAGATTGCCTTCGTTGTTACACAATTGACAGCAACATCCTGGTAGGAATGGAAGTTGTCCTCGGTCGCAATTTATTCACCTGTATCCACAGCCCTACTCTCACAAGGATCACTCCCCTAAAAAACAACAAAAGTCTCCTTGTTCCCTAAACAATACAGACTTGACCTATTTAGTGTGGCTACTATTTGCTAGGACTAGGGAATTTAGGAATACTTCTCTTCCTGCAAAGTGTTAGCTAAATATCTGAAACTTTATTAAACTAACTAAGGAAGAAGAGAATACAGAATAAATGGCTCTTAAAATTTTACTGAAAGGACTGAGGCAATTTGCTTGTCAAATTAACTACTGGGATACAGCCATTAAGCCCTGGGAGCAGTGCCTAAGGACCTGCAGATTTTTAAGAAACCAGGCAAAATTTTTAGCCCTGGGGAAAAAAAATGAATGGACTCCAAAGCACTAATAAATATTAATGTATATTTAATTAACATTTTTCTGTTAAAAATATATCATCTCAAGAGTTACATATAGCTGTACATGGGTATGTTTTTTTGTGATATGAAGCTTAAGTACCAGGAGGGTCCTAATTAGCTTATCTCCTAAATGAGCATACCTCCTAACATCTGCGAACAAACACTGAGCTTCATAAATATGGATATTGTATTTAGTATTATCATAACAAAAGATTCTTTTTTAAATGACACTAATATAAATGCTCTAAATCAAGCCTTTTTCACTGTTATAAATTGAGAAAACTTTAATAGGCAGCAGCTCAGTATTATGTATCAAGGATTCCCATGACTTAGTAAGTTTACTTGTAGGAATTTATCCTTCAAACGTATTCCCGTATGTGTGTAAGGATGAATAAGGATGTTATTCATACCTATTTTTGCTATTTTAAAAGCAAAAGAATGGAAAACAGCTTATGTCTCCATCCACAGGAGACTGGTGTGTTAATGACACAATTCTGTGAGGGGTATGGTATAGTTGAGAAGCAGGAGATTGATCTGAGTTGGTGTGTCATGATTTCTAACTTCTGAGACAGCAAAGCAAGGTGCAAAGCTATGTGTATGTTATGCTCCCACTTTTTCAAGAGAGTTTATACCATGGTGCATTATTTTTAGAGGAACATACATAATTTAATGGGCTTCCCAGGTGGCTCAGTGGTAAAGAGTCCACCTGCAGTGCAGGATGCAAAGGAGACAAGGGTTCTATCCCTGGGTCAGGAGGATCCCCTGGAGGAGAGCATGGCAACCCACTCCAGTATTTTTGCCTGGAGAATCCATGGACAAAGGAGCCTAGCAGGCTACAATCCATAGGATCACATAGAGTCGGACAGGGCTAAAGTGACTTAGCGTGTAATTTAATATGTGTAAAAATCATTCTGGTAGTTTAAATCATGGACCTGCAGTAAAAAGATAACTGTCTAAAGATAAAGTTTTATATCTAAGGATAACGTTTTATTTGCTTTTGTGTTTAAGTTTTATACCACGGGCATATTCTACCTCTTAATAATAAAATTAATACCAGGCATCCTAATTTGAAAATGGCAGTTAAGCAAGTAATTTAGAAAAAAACTTCTTAAGTGAAAAGAAGACAGCTACTTTAAATATAGTAAATGCTATATCGTTTGGAGCGTGTGCTAATTTTTCATGTAAATTAGCTCATGAACAGCAAAACAGCACTATAACACTGAAAAAAAGATTAATTCCTCTTAGAGTGGGATTCTACATGAATGTGTTTTTTTGGAGGAAATGGGAGATTCCTTATTTTTTACATTTCTTTCATTACACAAAGTTCACTAATATTTTTATAATAAATACTTTTTACACCACATGAAAATAGCATTGTAATTAAAGTCAGGCTATGGATAAAGATAGTGTGATGGAACAGCGAAAACAGTAAAGACCTGGGAGGGATGTTTCTGACTGTAAAGCATAAATGTAGGCAGTGCTTATTGACTATGCGAAAGCCTTCGACTGTGTGGATCACAACAAACTGTGGGAAATTCTGAAGGAGGTGGGCATACCAGGCCACCTGACCTGCCTCTTGAGAAACCCGTATGCAGGTCAGGAAGCAACAGTTAGCACTGGACATGGAACAACAGACTGGTTCCAAATAGGAAAAGGAGTACGTCAAGGCTGTGTACTGTCACCCTGCTTATTTAACTTATATGCAGGGTACACCATGTGAAACGCTGGGCTGGAAGAAGCACAAGCTGGAATTAAGATTGCCAGGAGAAATATCAATAACCTCAGATATGCAGATGACACCACCCTTATGACAGAAAGTGAAGAGGAACTAAAAAGCCTCTTGATGAAAGTGAAAGAGGAGAGTGAAAAATTTGGCTTAAAGATCAACATTCAGAAAACTAAGATCATGGCATCTGGTCCCATCACCTCATGGGAAATAGATGGGGAGACAGTGGAAAGAGTGTCAGACTTTATTTTTTGGGGCTCCAAAATCACTGCAGATGGTGACTGCAGCCATGAAATTAAAAGACGCTTACTGCTTGGAAGGAAAGTTATGACCAACCTAGACAGCATATTAAAAAGCAGAGACATTGCGTTGCCAACAAAGGTCCATCTGGTCAAGGCTATGGTTTTTTCAGTGGTCATGTATGGATGTGAAGAAAAAGCTGAGTGCCGAAAAACTGATGCTTTTGAACTGTGGTGTTCTGGAAGACTCTTGAGAGTCCCTTGGACTGCAAGGAGATCCAACCAGTCCATCCTAAGGGAGATCAGTCCTGGGTGTTCATTGGAAGGACTGATGCTGAAGCTGAAACTCCAATACTTTGGCCACCTCATGCGAAGAGTTGACTCATTGGAAAAGACCCTGATGCTGGGAAGGATTGGGGGCAGGAGAAGAAGGGGACGACAGAGGATGAGATGGCTGGATGGCATCACTGACTCGATGGGCATGAGTTTGAGTAAACTCCAGGAGTTGGTGATGGACAGGGAGGCCTGGCGTGCTGTGATTCATGGGGTCGAAGAGTCGGACATGACTGAGTGACTGAACTGACTGACTGATTGACTAGATCTGTTTTGTTTTACCTCAAAGGAAACAAAATTACTCTTCCTTGACTTTTGACAATGAAGTTTATGAGAAGGCAATTTGGGGCTCAGGGAGAGGAGAAAGACATTACAACACAAGTCCTTAATTTGGGTTTTGTAGATCACTACAGGGGGCCAAAGCCCTGAAGATATCACTTAGGACACCTACTTTTGTTTGCTGGTAAAAATACTTTTTTCAAAATAGTAACGGAAAACCCCTTAGTCTGGTTTAGATATGAAATAATTGGAAGTGATAAGTCTTGAGAGTAAAAGTCTAAATATTCTTGATAAAATTATTAAATTTTGTATCAAGAGAAACACTGGAGATTGAGTTTCTAATACAATTTCTTTGTTTTAGTGATGAGATGAAAAAAGTTGTGGCTTGCTCTTGCTGACATGTACAGTGAGAATCTAACCTGATAATAAAGAGAGTCTCAGATATTTGGGATAATAAAGTAGCCTATAAATCATTAAGATACATTCCACAATAATATAAAAGGAATAGAATATGACTGAAAAATGTAATGAAGTACTAATAACTGGGGCATTTTAACAGTGAAGTTCCTGAGTATGGGAGTCAGAATGCTTGAGTTTGAAGCTTAGTTCTAGCACCTGCTATCTATGTAACCTTGAAGAGTCAATTTACTGAACCTCTAAATCGCAGGCTCCTGCTTTGTAAAAATGAGAAAAATAATAATATTTCACAGTTTTCAAAAGTTAAGTCCTTAGAAGTTCATGGCAGACCAGGATAGAATGTGTGGCAAGTAGACCTAGTGGATAGCACTTAGGTCAGAAAGCTACGTTTTGATGTTTTGATATTTCAGCTACTTTGCAGAGGTATACTATACATAGGCCATGTATTCCAGTGGAGAAAGTTGATGATGTTTTTTTGCACAGCTCACAGAGATAAGATAAGAGCGATAGGTGACTTAAACTATTCAGATGGGCCAAAGTCTTGTTCAACTGATAATATAGCAGTTGAAGAGCTCTTGACTTTC